TGACCTCTTTGGGGATTTATTCCTCACGTGTCCCACGTATATGTTTGCCACCAATTATGCTAAATATTCGCAACAAAGTGTGTATTTCTATGAACTCACGTATCAAAGGACTAGTAAACTGGAGTTCCGACAGTTTGGAGTCACCCATTCAGATGACCTGGATTTTGTGTTTGGGTTACCCTTAATAGCACCCGACCCTAACGACACGTATTTTGACCAGGTGTTTAGTACTGATGTACAGATATTGTGGACTAATTTTGCTATATATGGGTATGAATTAGTTAACTAAAAATGATATTTAAATAAGAAATTAATTTTTATTAAAATTGGTATTAATAATAGGAGACCTAACAATGATTGGCCCAAGATTAATTATAATAAAGTAAAGGATTTAAACCCGCATAAATTACAGCATTATTTTGAACATCTGTTTAATACTACTTGTGATGGCTTCTGGAGAGAGTACTATATTTGAAACATTGTTTCGAGTGAACTATGTTTATAAATGTAAATTGTTTAAGTTATTTTAATAAACATATTTCATAACTATTAAGTAAAATATTATATTAGAATTATAATCGAAATATAAGTTGCAATTAAATTACGTTAATTTAGTTCATCGTGATCATGTATATATGGTAATATCGATATGGTTTAATAGCTTAAACTTTTTAAAAACTGTAAACAGTGTTCTTAACGACAATTTTTATTAAGTTTTAGTAGCAAGACACTGAATGTGTATAAATTATGTTTAATGATTTTTGTTTAAATGTAGTCTCAATGACATTTTGTAAAAAACTGTTCATGACAATTATAATGAATACATTTATGTCATCTGATATTCAAATGCCTGCCCTTATGTCGTTGTAAATGAGATTTTTGTGTAAATCTTTTACCACAATCATTGAAATCACATACAAATGGTGTCTCACCCGTGTGTACACTCTTATGTTTAACAAAATTTGATTTATCAGTAAATCTTTTGTGACAACCAATGAAATCGCAATCAAATGGCTTTTCACCCGAATGTATGGCTATGTGTTGATTGAGTTACAGTCACTCCAATCTCATACATATCTCACATTTAAATGAACACTATTTATGTGTTCAATTAAATGTGATTTATTTGAGCAAACTTTATTACAATTAAGAAAATCACATTTAAATTTTTTTGTATTTGAATGTATTAATTGATGTTCAGTTAAATTCTGTTTAAATGATGTCTTGTATTGACATTTAGGCCAAAAACAGTGGAAATAGTGATAAGTGTTGAGTGTATTAATGGTGTTGTGATTGGAAAGCATTTTATCACTTATTTTACATGAATTCAAATCAATTGAATTGNATCACTTATTTTACATGAATTCAAATCAATTGAATTGCAATTCATTAACAAATTCACTGCATTTTCGCATTCAATCCCTTCATACAAAACACTTGCATTTTGTGATAAAAAACACTGCATTTTGTCTAAACTTTGCCTCAAATCACGAAATTCACACAAATTAAACAATGAGTACTTCATTTCAATCAATAAACACTTATTAACTTAAACTGTGTTTATAATGAGTAAATAAAATAATTTGCAATAATTATTATTTCTATTTTAATGCCTTATCTTTAAAACACATGTTCAAGAAACTGGTATATATTTATCAAGCTTACAAGTTAGGATTTGCACCTAGTTCCAGTGCATTGATTATTTATGTAAGCAAAAGTTATTTATTTAAACCTTGTAAATAAATGGATAATTAAAGGACATGTTATTTAAGCATAGGCTAATTGTTAAGTGTTTATAAGTTAATTGTTTACAAGCATTGTATTTATAAGTATTTATAAGCACACTAGTATTATTACTAGTATAAGTGGCATGATGAGATTTTCTCTAATTAAAAATTAAAGATAATTTTTATTATTAATAAGCACCTGGCCATTGATTTAGACCCATTGTACCAAATTAGACTATTTACCATCGTGTAAACTTTGACACAAATCCCGAAATTCAAACAAATTAGACAATAAACACTTCATTTTAATGAGCATTTCTAAACTCATTTTTACAAAATATTTAAACTAAATCATAAATATTGTATTAAACAATAAATGTATAACAAAATAAATTGTACAATGTGGTCCTTTATTAAAGTCCACGTGCTTTACACATAAAATTACTGAAAACCTGTTTTTGAATTATGATAACTTATCATTGATAAACTATGAGAATTTGTTTCTCAAAACAGCAAGGTTATTTTTATTTCACTTATCAACAACTACATAAATTCTTTAATAAAAATTATTTTATTATTTATTGTCATTAATAGTGACTTATAATATAAAATGTTTAATATTTAAAAAATTAACAAGTAGATAAAATTAATAAATTCCAAATTACTTTGAATTGTATAAAAATAGCATAACATCCCTTTCCCCGGCACCGTATGTATGGCTTAAAACAAAATATTCTCCAAAAGCTGGCTTTTCTTGATCTTACCGCTCGGGGTAACCGGAAATGAGTCGACAATTCTGAGCCCTCCCCTCAATTTCTTGTAGTCGTTCACCTGACTGTCCACATACTCCACGAGCTCCACATCCGTTACATCCGAGCCCTCGACAACCGTCACGAAAGCCATGGGAATCTCTCCGTGCGAGTCGTCCGACACCGCGATTACAGCCGCGTTCACCACATCCTTGTGTCCGATCAGCAGGTGCTCCAACTCTGCCGGCGCTACTGCTACCCCTAATTTGGGCATTTATTGGTTAGTTTAGTGCGTGGGCTGCTATGGGGGGG